TCACACGACTTAAATGTTACGTTTATAACCGTAGCAACAGACCTCAGATGAGCCCAGACGCTCTGCGGCTCTTGTTTCATGTGGAGTTTGATGTTATAAAACCTGTATGTAGCCGTCATTCGAGGAAAATGTGTCCCACAACGAAATATGTCTTTTATTAGAAAGGTGTCCATTCTATAAAGATTGTTTTAGTGTGACTGCACTCGAGGGAAACGCTAAAACTGTCCTCTATAGAAGAGTGTTCGTTCTATAGAAGTGGTTTTTATAGTGTGACTGCACTCGAGAGAAAAAAACGCTAAAATAAATCTTCTATAGACAGGTGTCCGTTCTATTGACGTTCCAAGGCTAATTAGCCCACAAAATAAGGACAGCTTTCACACTTTCCATAGATAGGGAGGGGGTTATTTGACCACTGGTCTAGTCTCTTGACACTAATGAAGTGAGTGACAGATCGGTTGCCCGGCGACGAGTCTCTGAGACCGAAATTCTACTAACTAATTATGACGGAATTTGCTTCATTACAGAGATGTTTCGCTCTAACGCAGATGTGACTGTATGCCTTAGGCTGAAAGCGTCTATGTCCCCCGGGGTACTGCCGGAACGTACCCTGGGTACGGTGTGGTATACAGGAACGTACGCTGGTACTATCTAATATGCCGGACCGTACCTCGCCTACTCCACTAACGAGTCTAGGGAGTTGCCTACGCCTACTCCCTAACCCTAACCTTAACCCGAACCCGAACCCTAACACTAACCCTAATCCTAACCCTAACCATATCAAATAGTGACCAGGGTACGTTCCGGCAGTACCCTGGGGGACATAGACCCGATGAGCATTACTTAGTATCAATCGTGTGAACTATTACACATCGTATTTAGTCTGTCGCGCGTGGGTACATGACATGCGATCCCGTAAAAGTTGAGAAGCTGGGGGAGTGCGAGAGATATCGAGAGACGTGGATCATAAAATCGGCAGGAAAAACGAACGAGCGCGAATAGAGAGAGAGAGAGCGAACCCGCAGATTCGCAGACGAACTGCAAAAATTGCCGCAGCAAAAACTCTTCGACAGACATGAATGCATAATTGTGGCAAAATAACCATCGCCGCTCGATTTGTAGTC